ACCATTGAAGGCAATTTTTTCCAGCAAGATTTTATGGTCGATACGATCAAAGGCTTTCTTAAAATCCGTATACACAGCGTCTGTTTGTTTATTAGAATCCATGTTTTCAAATAATGCAGTTGCATAAACCATAAGGTTAGTGGTGGTTGAACGCTTTAAAACAAATCCATGTTGTTGTGGGAGAATATTTTTGTGGATATAAAAGTAAAGGTTGCTGTGTATGAGTCTTTCAAGAAGCTTTGCTATAGTAGGCAAGATTGAAATAGGACGGTAGTTGGTCACGTCCTCTTTCGAGCCCCCCTTGTGTACTGGAACAATCCTAGCCATTTTCCATATATTTGGACAAACACCATCTTCCAAGCATTTATTAAACAAGATCCGAATTGGTTTGTAGATAATTGTAGCCGTTCTTCTAAGAAAAATCGGCGGAATATTATCTGTACCGGGTCCTTTTGTAACGTCCAATGATTGGAGTTCTCTTATTATATAGTCATCTTTTATTAATATACTAGTAATAATATTATCAGTGTGAGTTTTTATGTCTAAATCACTTATATCGGTAATATCATAGGAGTCCGGCAAGTCTGAAGACTGAAAAATTGAGTGGAAGAATCTCGAAAACATGTTGCAAATATCATCAGGGTTGTCGGCTTTTGAATTTTCAAATTTTACGCTACTAGGTATATTACATTGTTTTTTGCGGTTATTTATATAAGTCCAGAAATATTTTATGTTATATTTAATGCTATCTTCAACTTTGTTTATATAATTACTATAACATTTATTTGCCTCTTTCTTAAATCTTTGACGGTACATTGAAAATACTAAGTAATCGGCTTGATTTTTATACTTTTTCCATTTTACCCAAGCAGAATTTTTGTTTTTAAAAATATGTTTAAGAGATGAGCTAAACCAAACCGGAAAATGTGAATTAGAAATAGTTTTGGAAGGAATGTGTTTACGGACAATGTTGTAAATTTTTTCATAAAATATATCTACACAGTAGTTTGCTTGTTTGTTCTGAAATAGGTCTTCCCAATCAATTTCTAGAAGATCTTGATTTATTTTCTCATAATCAGCATTTTTAAAGCAATGTATAGTGTGTGATTTACATATTAATTGTTTGCTTACTATAGTATCAAGTGACATAAGAACATAAAACGGAGGGTGCTGTATATCTATTGGCACTAAAGTTACCGGCGTTGAAAAGGATTTGCTATTATGTGTATTAGTAATACATAAGTCTAGCAAGCGGTTCTTATTATTTTTGAAAATATTGATTTGTTTACAATTTAACAAGGACATAAAATTTAACAAGTATGAGCTTGGCGGTTCTACATCACTCGCTTTTAAGGGGTCTGATTGATTGCCGTTGATTTGCCATTCAAGATATGGTAGATTAAAATCTCCGTATATGTAAAAGAAATCGACGCCCATAACCTGTATGTAATCCCTCATAGCATCGAAATAGGTAAGATATACATCACTGTCAACTCTCGGGGGAATATATACAGCTCCAATAATGTAGTGTATATTACCTATAGACAATTGTATCAGTATTTGTTCAATTACGTGTGGGAGATTGCGGGGAGTAGCAGAGGGGGGCAACGAGCAAGGCGTGGAACAAAGTGAGCGCAACACAGCCACCAACACACCTCCGCCATCTCTGCGGCCAGTCGCTGTTCGGTTGCGATCGCAGCGATACACAACATAACGGGAGTCAATGAATTCGTTATTTTCTATGTCGGCATGCAACCACGTCTCGGTTAATATAATAACGTCGTAGAAATGCATCAAAATATTCATATATATCGTATTAAGTTTGGTTCTCAGTCCGCGGCAATTTTGATAATAAAAGGATAGTACGTTATTATTTAAGTTATCGTATTTTACAGTAGACTATTAACAATATTACTAAGAAATCGTTATTTAAAATAGTAAGTGCATATTTAATACGTATGTGTGAAATAACAATGATTTTATTGTTACGCATGGACGGTGGTGTGTAAAACGGAGTGCCAGAAGTATAATTTGATATTTCAAGGTTATGAGAGTTTAATACGATAAAACAAAAATGCCATCCCATTATGGATCCATAATAAATGTACAGAAATATGATAGTCAAGTTAAGATAGTAGCAATGTTTATGCTTTGAAGACTGACATATTTTAATATTATTATAAAGAGAGTGCTTGTTTGCAAACAATTTATTATTTAATTTCGATGTTACCGAAATATAGCCATTATTTATTGAAATTGTAGTTACACGTTTATGAGCCTGCCAGTTTATTGAATTAACATAGCGTATATGTACTGTTATAATTAGTAATATGACTGTAGGTAGTTTACAATAAATTGACCTACCAAAAATGAAAAGCCTATCCAAAGAGTAGTTACTTAATCTTAATGAGATCCTGTTCCGAGCGTATTGCCAGCACTGGAGAATTTTCGGTCTTACGTGTAAGAATAACACCATGTTTGATCCAAACAAACTTGTAATCCTGTGATTTGGCTCTGTTACGACATTCACGAAACAAGTGCTTGTTTTGGATAGTTAGATGCTCGTTGATAAATATTTTTTGAGGTGATCCGGATATTCCCAGCTTTTCAGTATTGAGATCCTTACTAGAACGACTAGCAGCTATGATATTATCGCGTAGAGTCCGGGTGGTAAGTTTAACAATAACGTTTTTAGGTCGGGTATCTTTTTGGTCTGCGTGAGGTACACGGTGAATTGCTACAATATCGGTCGCAAGTATTTGTTGTTTGATAAATGTACCAATGCCCATTACAATATTTGTAAGATTCTCATTACGTCTGTCGGGCAAGTTAGTGATTTCAATATTGCAATCTCGAGCTTGCTGCTCCATAGCTGCTAACTTGCTTTCAAGTTTTTTAATATGACAAGGTAGGTCACTGACTGGCTGCATTTGATTTTTTAAAGTTTGTAATTGTTCATCGAAGGTGTCCTGGCGTGTATTACTATAACTGAACGATTTTTCCATCTCCGATAGGCGGCTGTTTATATCCTTGAGGGATTCCTTGAAGCTTGCATTGTCGGAGCGCAGGCCATGGACAGTGTCATTTAGAGTGGCCAATGACACTGTTATCTTAGACAATTCACTTGCCAAAATTAATTGTAAAGACTTGGTTATAGTCTCAGATATATTTTGATCAAATTTATCGAGTTTATCTTCCAATATTTTCATTCGGTAAGTAATGTCATCATCTTCAGGTTGCTTACGCTTACGTAAATTGACAAACATATCATCTACCTCCGCCGATGCAGATAAATTCGGGTTGGACGAGAATTTTGGTGGTGTGCGTTGTATCGACATTTTACAACTGTTTTGAATAGTTCGTCCGTTATAAACAGTTGTTTAGTCACTTGGTATGCAAATATTATGACCACAGTCAATTGTATCACTTAACACAGTCACTCATAAAGATGAAATATTTCTTAAAGTCACACTTTTATTCGGTATTATATTTTATTTCATTACTTTAACTAACAATAGCACGTCTACTCTCAGCCGTACCGCCAGAAAAGTGAAGCCGTACCGCCAGAAAAGTGAGCCGTACCGCCAGAAAAGTGAAAAGATATGCATAATATAACTTTAAAATTAAAAGCGATAACAGTCGTAAAATTACTTTATACAATATAACGTAACAAAATAACAAATCATCTCTTATAATAAATGGAATAACACAAGCCTTACGGAATTTATCGAGTTTTTAAATTGAACGTAATTTTAAGTTCTTAGTGTTATTTAAATAATTATTAACTATTACTTTTTAGGTAACATGGGGACAAGACAAGTACAGTAGTTGTAGTTGTTGCGTTTTGCAGGCGTGTTGGCAACCGCAGTCATTTATTATATTCAGTTCTTATCAAGAAGATACAGCTGCCCATCTTCTGTCTCAGTTTCCCTTTGTCGCCTCTTATGACACCCACGAGATTATATATATGTATGTATGGTTACACTAAGGGCGTTACTACGCAGTATAGGAGTCGGTAGGAGTTTTTACCACGGACTTTTTTGGAAACTCGTTTGCGCACATTCATCTATTGAACTTAAATAACACATCGCGTATTTTGAACTCGTATGGTGCATGCATCAATCATTAACTACTGCTTGCTTCACCGCGCGTAGCAGCATTTACGCCGCAATACATCACAGGTCTGGGTATTTAAAGTCTAACATTAGTATGTAGCAAACTTGCATATACACACCATTGCAGGTCACAGGCCTCTCATTAGCGAGAGTGTTAGGGTAAGGAAGTGTCCGCCACGTAACTCCAAGTTAAGTTTCTATCATGATACCGATTTAAGGTCTAGCACAATTAAAATTTTAAGTACACTTCCTCTCAGGATCACTAAATTATATAGCCCCAAACACCCGTAAGCTACTTTTACGAACATAGTCCGCTGATCAATTGTTTGGATAGTATTATTTCTAATACACTATTAGCAAACAAGCTTTTCTCCGTGGGAATAGCAGAAAACATATTAAAGAATTTTGTAAACTATTTGATACCAATATGGCAATTAGTGATAGCATATTGTAATTCACATAATGATTTCTTATATTTACGCGAAGACTAACACATTAAATGGAACTAATTTTTACGGATTTTATCGCGTTTAATTTAAATTTTTGGTCTAGAAATTAAAAGAAAAATATTCAAAAACTGAAGGTAGCCGGGCTAACTATGACATCGGGACGTCAAACACCTCAATCCGCCCCGTGACGTGACCATGGGTGTTGTAAAGCACCCGAAACGTCGGGAATTAAAAAGTTAAGTTAAACGCGATAAAATCCGTAAAAATTAGTTTCATTTAATATTGTAATTCTTCAAATCCATCCACCGTTTTTCAAATACATAATTGGATTTCTGATACCGTCTCCTTGAGGCAAGTTGCGCGTTTCAACTCACGCCAAATTGCAGGGTTCAAGGCATTTGTGAATTCGCCTTTAATCCCTTCTGACTCGACACCGCTATAAGGCTAAGGCATCGCGCATAGCTTCCACCGGGTTCACGAACTTAGTGGAGCCTATCAGCAGTGTGTTGTCGATGCCACTCGTGATCACACTGCGGTGCAACTGCTTGCACTCCTCGGCTGTAACGCCTCCGACCACGAAGAGGATTACTGTCGGATTGTCCAACGGGTGCTTCGTGCTGCGCGACTTCTTGCTTGTTAGAATACTGGAAATATTAAATTTAAAATTAATAATGTAATACGCTATCCATACTAAAACTATAGATGTGAAATTGAATGAAACTATTTTTACGGATTATATCGCGTTCTACTTCTTTTTAATTCGTTGGGGACTGAGATGTATGACGTCCCAATATAGCGCGATTATTCGCGTTATCGCAATGTATGTGGCCGGCCGATGTGCTTGTGCTTGTGCACATCGCTTCGTTGTCGGTAAATTCTTGCAATTCAAAGGGTTTCATCGCGATAGACTTCGCTTGTGCGAACTCCATCGCGATAAAACTTCACTTCAGTCTGCCCCAAAGAGTGTAATAAGTATATACAGCAGGTCTGCCCACAGATATCGTGCGTAGCGGTTGTGTTAAATTAAATTGGGATTTGCGACGTATGTGCAACCTGGATTGGTCTAATGAATTTTTTTAGAATTTATTAGTAATTACGAGTCCAAGTCGATATTATTTATATATTTATTCTTATTTTTTTATACTGACACAATTATATAAAAGAATTATTCGCTCCCATATAATACAGAGCGACCGTGGCGTCCATTTTGTATTTACCGTGTGTTTAGCGCAATAAACTTTACAACGCGCAGTGTGGCCAGGCACCTTCGCGGTAGACCGTAGGCGAAGTTTAATCGCGATATTCTATTCTTGCTCCATAAACTTGACAATACCAAATGGCATCAAACATCGATCCTGAATTTATGCCAGCCACAGTAGATAGACAGTATAGATAGTACATATATTTGTGTAAATAAGTAGTAATTACTTGTACTAGAAGCAAGTATACAGTTTACATAAGTATTTTAACTTAGTTATTAAGCCATTTTTACTCGTGTAATGGTTATATCCTTGTTGATCAGATGCTTCTATTATCCTTAGACTGATGTGTTGTTAACTCTGCAGAAAGGAATATTATTTTGTAATCTATTATCAGATAATTAATATAAAAATAATATCCTTTTCCCTTACATGAAACCAGTAAAAATAAGAAACTTTTACATAGTCAAATATTGTTGATGTAAATCCATAATTACTACTTGTGTATTTGATTATCTGGAGCTGATTAATGGTGTATATTTTATAATAATTTCTTATTTATTTTACATACAAGCAGAGACAACAAAATACTGATAGAAATATTGAAATGTAGTTTATTGCCATTAAAGTATAGTATATATTATAATATAGTCTTATGTCATATCTCTTATTATTGAAAATGTCCTGATTCCTAACAATATCATACGAGGACGTGTTTTTTTTGCTTTATAGTGTTCGAAATGTAAATCAATACAAACATAACCATATACCTCACACGCTATTCAGATTGCAATAAATATAGAAAAAATAATATATTAAGAAAAATTATTATTTAGTATAGACACTACAATATTCATTAACTTTTTTCAGGTGGATCGCTTAGAATAAACGTGTATGTCTTTTAGCCTGAAATCTTGCAGAGCTGCTCGTAGGCAGAGACCAAAAAGTATATGGGTATTGAAGACAACAGTCTTATATCATATCTCGTAACATTGAAAATATCCTTCTGATTCCTAACAATATCATAAATGGCCTTGTTATTATCAAGTTATTTTGAAAAAATCTTTTGAAATGGTGATGACTGACAATAATAAATACAAGTAAATTATACATGTGTTTTTGTTATCCTTACACAACCAGTTTAAAACATCTTACTTCATATTTATCAGTATGTAATAGCATAGATAAACATGATATTACCTAGTCATTTTGGCTTTAATGATGTTTGGGGTATGATAAATAATCAATTAATATATTTTAAAACAAAGTTTACACACTGCACCTTTACTAATCAACGAAAACATATTAAAACAAAGTCTTGACCTGTCTATCTGTTCCACTATTAATTAACTGCTTTGGAAATAACTACAACAATACATGCAGTGGCATTTTACTTTGTGTTTTAGCCTTATACAACCAGTTTAGAACATCTTTCTTACTATATATTTTTATTATTATATTATATTATATCTATATATTTTTATTATCCGTTATTCATCTTGGCTTTAATCATATTTATTTAATTATTGTAATGGTGTTTGAGATGTATATTCGCTAATTCTGTAAAACCTGTAAAAAATAGTCTCCACACCACGTTTGTTTGTCTGTGCACTATGTTTTGCCGGAATTGCTAAAATGATTTTCCATCAATCTTAAAGTACCTATAATTGTTGCATGTACCTACACATTTGTTTGATACTGTTAATTATTAAGCAATTCTATTCTATATAAACTATTCTAACTCATAATATCGGTGAAAACTACTAGAAAATCGCTTTTAGTTTGATTTAAGATTATTATGATATTCATTTTAATTTTTGATTTCTCAGTTCCCGTTAGATGCGATAAAACTAATATTAATTTTGTAATCTATAGATTATAAGGAATAAATCGATATACATCTTATTAAGTGTCCCTAAAATTCGTGGTGGCCCATTCTCCATACAAAAAGAAATTGTCTCCTTTGTGTTTTTTTTCTTTAGAGCAAATATTATCCTTTTATGTAGTTGAAAACTAACAGCACATAGAGAATTAATTATCCTTAGATATATTTGTTTTCAGTTTTTAACTTGATTTATTGTAAATATTGATCGTTTATCACGCTTACTTGAATCCGCTTCGAAGTAGGTCCTTGATGCCTTCATTTCTGTGCCTCAGGTCGGTGAGTTCAGGTTTATCAGAGTTCACAATATCGTCAACAAGTTGCTGCAGTAGCCCGCGGTACTCGTGACCTGAGCCAGTGTCGCACGGCTTTAGCACGGATGTGTACCTAAAAATATATGTGGTACAACTTCAATAATATACTACACTAGTGATATAAAGATATATGTTGAAAAAATTGTGAAAATATCGCCGATTTTTTCTGCAAATACTCTGAAAATACTAATAAATAGAAGTAGTAGTAAGAGTATATAGAAGTACACACACAAGTGTAATAATAATCCTATATAATCAAATTTATTAATACAATAAAACGAGTCTTATATCATCATTCGTTTGTTTAACTCATCTCCTAATATTCGCCCTACCGGAGAAATTCACAACGCGGCAATGACACCTCCGCCGTATTTGGAGTGGAACATTTATTTTCTCTGTACACCTGATGAATTGAATTAAGCTATGGAGTTATATCTTAAACTGCGTGACTGTGTATACGTGTTTAACAAAAAGTTGACGAAAAATAACATCCAAGAAGATGGGCGGTAAATAGACTAAAGAAGAGACCGTAATTGTGCAAAATGTTTTACCATACTATAATCAAAAAAGCTTTTAGAAAAATTTACTTCGCAAATATCCGCGTTATAAAATAAAATGATGTGTCTTACCTAGTATGAAGAGCACCTCCCGCCCTCCCTCAATTGCGTGCACTATCCCCGTCACCACAAATCCCAGCACCGCTACTCCCAAGACCACTACACTAAGCAAGACACACCACTGACGATAATACGACACGTGTTTCGCCTCTACACGAGGCATCCTCAGGTGATATAGACTCTACGGTGGCTAACCGCTAGAGCGGATATTTGCGAAGTAAATTTTTCTAAAAGCTTTTATACAATGGATTTCCGCAAAGTAATACCTGATTCTATTAATTATATACTATAATCAATCTAAACAGTCATGTAAATAAAGTTGAAGTGTCTGTGCTGTATCGAAATAACTGCCTTATATTGTGCTGAGGAGGTAGTTTTGTTTTGTTTTGAGGTGTATTTGCATGCCATTAAGACGTGAAGAACAATTTTTAAAATGTTTGTCTGTCTGTTTGTCTGTCCTGACTAATCTTCGAAATGGCTGAACCGATTGTGATGAAACTTTACGAACAGATGGAGAGCAATGCCAGGAGTGATCTAAACTATACTTTATCCGAATGATAAATAGTCTCTAATTATCCTAAATTTAAATAACGTCACGTTAAACCTCTCTAGGCGAAGACAGATCGGGTCGCTAGTAGTCAACAAAATCCGTAAAAGTAGTGGTATTCATTATGTAGTGTCCACATAAATATAAGAAATCATTACTCTACATTAAAGAAACCCAATTCACTTCCACATACCATCCCGTGGGTGTCGTAAGAGGCAGGGTTGGGCAGTATTTGAATTATTTTTAATTAAATTACGAATTTAAAATACAAATACTTATTTGGTATCTGTATTTCAATTACTTCCTAAAAATGTAACTTGTAATTGGTATTACAAATACCTGACGCTGAGGTATTTTGTAGTTAGTGTTTCAAATACTTATGGCTACAAAATACATTTGAACATAAATACATTTAGCGATCTGGACCTGTAGAAAGATTGGTTTCTTTAGCAGGTTTTATTCATTCCCCGACAAAAGGCTGTTTGTCTGATAGTACATTTAAAAATATAGTGTTCATGAAAGGAAAATCCTCCTTTACTGATTAACGGGTTGGGCTGGATTAGTTCTATTCCATTTACACAACCTAATACATGACTGTATTGTGTATTTTATATTTTAAATATACAAACTTAAAAATATTTTGTATTTCATATTTTAAATACATGCGAGATTGTATTTTGTAATTTGTATTTTGATTAAAGCAACGCATGTATTTTGCTTTTGTTTTGCCTAGCTCTGGTAAGAGGCGATATGGGAAAACTGAAACAGGAGATGGCAGCAACATCTTCCTTATAACAATTCAAAATATTAAGAAAAACAGGAGTTGCCAACCGATCTGCCAAGTGTAGTAACTATGTCAAAATTTCCCCATTTCAGTCTATGAATGGGGGACTTTTAATTGACTGTAATGAATTAATGAATAAAAAAAAACAAAACCCATGAAACCCCCTGAGCTACTAACTACTATCGACATAAGATGAAAATAGTTCACCTATGCAAAATCTTCCTCATCTGTGAGACATCTTTCAGCCTTGTCAAGATCTTATTGGCTATCTCATCACATTCTTCAGGGCTTGCTATATGCGTATCCATGTTGGAGAATAAAGTCTTGTGGTCCTCAAATATCGCCACACTCAGTGTCTCGGTAAGGCTGTCTTCGTGCTGCTTATTGAATGATACCTCGGTCCCAGTAAGAGAGTAGACATGTGTGGTCAACGCTAAAAGATTCTCAAGAGAGAGATTTCTTTCTTTACGGGTTTTTATCAAATTACTTATCTGTAAAAGAAAAATCAATTAAGAATTGTAACGTGGTAGAGCCATGCTGCAGCTATATTAATTGTATATTTGTAGCACGAATGGGTCGGCTCGACCGGGGAAGGACCACTCTCTTACAGAATACTAGCGAAACATAGCAGCTTAATGCTGCTGTGTTCGTATGGTGAGTGTAGAGAACCGGAAAGCAATTTTACTAGAAAAGAGGCATTCTATCTTGTCCTCACGGCTGATAACGCATCTGCATTTTAATTCGCAAATGAAGATAGATGTAGATGTCTATGGGCCACAGCAACCACCTACAATCAGGTGGACTGTGTGCTAGTTTGTCACCCTCATCCTATAAAAATCATGTATGTATATAGGGGGATGTATGCCAACAGTTGCCACAATTGGAAGGCGAATTCGCAACCATAGTTTTTTTTTATTATTACGTTGTTATCAAGATTATAATTACAGTAGACGCCAACACTGTTGCGCCGCATTACTATCATCGCAAACATTGTTATAGCATTTATATGTCCACAGCGGAACATAGGCATCCCCCAAGAAATGTCACAATGCACAGTCTCAAGCCACCTGCATCCATAAACTTCATCTCTTACCAGGTCGTCACTCCATCTAGTGGGGGGCCGCCCTACACTTTTACCAGTTGCCAGTCGAGAACCTTTCCCCCCATATATATTACTAAAATATTTACTCCAAATCGAAATGTAAATTTAAGCATTATCCATAAAATGGATAACGCGAAGTCTTAATTGTACAGCGATGGGAAAATTAAAAACAAATAAACTGGAAATTTATTTTTCAGACCACTACGGTAATCTTTTATTTTAGTTACTACCAGCTCAAACTATCGACAATGTATAATGCACGTACACAACCCTAGCAATTAATCATTTTATAGTCTACTATTAACTTTGACATCTATCTGCCATTATCTATGCAAATAACTAGCTCAATTATTTAAATAAATAAATATATACAATTAATTAGCTAAATCATGAACAATCAAAGTACTAATTATGGACTTAGAGGGATGATTTTTAACCGACTTAAAAAAAAGGAGGAGGCACTCAATAAAACGTAAAAAATTGTATTTTTTACGTGTGTTACCTCAGAACTTTTTTAATAATTATTTTTTATTTGAAAGCTGGTGCTTCTCATATGGTTGCATATAAATTTGATCAAGATCTGACCCGTACGTTTTGAGTTATCCTTAATAATGCATATTTAATTGACTTCAACTACATTGAAGAGGGTCATATATTATCTATACAAATAAATAAAATTGAAGTGTCTGTTAGTATTGTCAAAATAACAGCTTTTTAATAAATGCATATGAAAGTATATACGGAACTTATAACAAAAACACAATTTTTAAAATTTTTGTCTGTCTTTCTATCTGTACGTTTGTTCAGGCTAATCTCCGAAATGGCTAGTAACTTAAGGCTGAGTAACTTAAGTCACTTTTGTTGTAGAAAAAGAATTAGGGTTCCGCGCAAAAAAAAATTAAAACCCTAAATTACACGCGGGCGAAGTCGCGGGGAATAGCTAATTAATATTAAAGTCGGTTGCAATTTATTTATTTTAACCACTTGTTTGCACTTAGTACATAATTTCCTGTTCCCCAATAAGTGCAATACATACGAAAAGTATGTAACCAATTAAATATAATTCTATAATGAAATAATATATAATGGATCTAAATCATAAACTATTAGCTTGATAAGTAAAGTTTAAATACGCTATGGACACATTACAACACTTGCATTAACGACACGTGACATTCGCACGACTTCTCTCATTTCAAAAAAGTCGTAAATGGAGTCATCAACAAAATTAAATCTACTTTTTCTTAAAATATCAAATGAAATTTTGTTATGATTCCATTTCTGGAACGCACATTATTTCTTAAGGTGATAAAAAAGATATAATATAACACTCGACAAATACCTGATGCAAGACACTGGTAGAATCCCTGCTAGCGGCGAGATTTTGCTGCACTTGTCGCTCTAAACTCATAAGCAGTTCGATTTGATTACGCTTTGGCGACTTTAACGTTTGTACCACCCCTAACGCTTGTTGTAGTACTCCTACATGCTTGCTAATAATGTTGTAATTTCCTGTAAATTATAGAAAAAAGAAATTGTGTAGTCACCTTCAACTTCATCAGAACCTAAGCCGTAACCTCGTGGCGGAGCTGTCGTTGCGCCACAGGCGAAAAACACACCGAAACCTAAATCACGCTATCAAAGTTCCAAAGTACTGCGCTATACGGTTATTTAGCAATGACCGGCCAAATTTGCAGAGAAAGTTCAGAATAAGTAACGTATATTAGGCATATGGTAAAAAAAATAATTTTTAAGGATGTCAATAATTCTGTCCTTTTTATCTTTTAAATTCAAAATGCGTGGTAATGTATTATTTTAACTGATTTTACTGCGCACGCACACATTCGTAAGGGTCGATCGGTAGGCAAAAACGTTGTAGTCGATAAATCATATTCAATTTAGGATAATTTCAAATAAAAGTAGAAGCCTTATTTACTCGTATTTTCAAAAACTGCATTAACGGTATATCAATATTTATATATTGGAACATAAGTTTAAAATTTGGCTACTCATTGTAAAATAACCCAGTATAGAACATTCTACAAGGTTCAAAAACTTTATGAAACAAAGTTCGTATAAAAAGGGTTATTATAATATATAACAACAAACTACTGAGCAGTTTAGCAGGCTGTAAAACTGTAACAGTGTAAATTTCTAGTATATTAAATAAATAAATTAAAAAATAAAATAAACACATATATCATTGTAAGCTGTTATTCTTTTGTCTTTTTTTTTTCAAATAAAAGCCCGGCTGGGTTTCTTGCTGGTTCCTCCCAGGACAGAGGTTTTTATCCTAACCAGTGGTAAATTAAACAAAAGACTGACTTTCAATAAGTTTTCTCTTTCACCTCCTGCTCCCCGGGCCTTACTTGCCCGGCGGGAGATCTCCCCTTTTCATTCCACGGCCAATGCTAAATCTTAAAACACAAACCTATCTTTGTGTAGGGATGATTTGCCTTAACCACCACGCTATACAGACGTATTTGACGTTGTTCCCGCTGCCGGCTGGGTATTTATCGTGTGTTACAAAGACATGCCGTGGTAGACGTGGTAGCTCACAGCACGCGAGCAACCCGTTTTCGATCCCCGCCGGCACCAATGAAATTGTTAATTGCAATTTTAAGTGCTGATTTACCGCGTGCTCAGCGGTGAAGGAAAACATCACGAGGAAACCTGCATGTTTGAGAAATAAGAAAAAAAAACGAGGACATGTGAAGTTCGCCAACACGCATTGGGACAACGCGGCGGTCATTTCCTTGCCCTAAAACCCTCTCAGAAATGAGGGAAGGCCTGTGCCCAGCAGTGGGACGTATATAGGCTGCAACTTTTAACAAAGTCATGAAATCATTAACGGATTTCTCGCCTCTTACGATTACCGCCGGGCGAATTGAGTTGATAGATTTTCTTACACTGAAACCACTCAGCAAGCAATACTGTCTTACAGTTGTAGCAGCATACACAAGCATAAGTGTGTATAAGGCTGCAGAGCCTGTCTGCCTGTCAGGAGTCCAATATAGCCTCTAAAAGTTCACCGCTGAACATAGGCCTCCCCATAGTTTGCCATAGCTGCCATGCTTGGCAGGTGGGTGGCAACCACAGTCTTGTGTAATTTTGTGTTGTTATAAGGAAGATGCTGTTGCCTATCTCCTGTTTTAATTTCCCTCTGTCGCTTCTTACAATACCCACGGGATGATATCGGGTAGTGAATATTCTTACACCGCCACTACATGGTTTAAGTATTTAATTTGTTTTAATATAATATCATTACAACCTGAATGTACACTTGCATGACTAACATGAAGAAAAATTACAAAAATTAAGATAATACTTAACATACATGGTAATTACAAATCTCTACCAAAGAACGGCTTTGGTTGATGATGATAAGGCACTAAAGTTAAAGCATATTATACATTTAATGAGTTTACCTTTCGAAGCTGTAATTATTTTTTCAACACTCTGTGGTGTGACTTTAAGCAAAGTTTTTAGTCCTGGTGACTTCTGGACATCAATTTTAGATAACTTGTTGTACAGATCGAACATAACTTCTTTTTGGGATTTATTAATCATATAGTCGAATGTTTGTATGCAGGCATCGTCGTTTGCGTGGTAGAGACAACCTGGACTTAACTGGACATCATCTGGATGTGATATACTGAAATAGTTATGGTAAAAAGGGTGATATAGTAGATTTCATTTTTAAAAGTGTACAGTCTCTCTTGTGTTAATATTTTTTATAGGATAAGGGTGACAAACGAGCACACAGACGATACCTGATGGTAAGTGGTTGCTGCGGCCCATAGACATCTACATCTATCCTCTATTACAAATCAAAATGTAGATGCGTTCACCCATGACGACTAAGATGGAATGCCTCATTTCCAGTAAAAAGGGTCTCCAGTTTTCTACACTCTACCATACGAAACGATTAAGTTGCTATTCTACGCTGGTATTCTGTGAGAGCGTGATCCTTCCCTGGTCGAGCCGACCCATTCGTGTTACAACTATACCAGAAATATAGCTGCAGCATGGCTCTACCACGTATAAAGATACCAGTATAAAAATATTTTTCTTGTTATTGCAATAAAACTTAATAATACTTGTAAAAATATTTATTTTAACCACTTGATTTATAATACATGTGCACATGACGGCTCCGTGGCGCAGTGGCTTAGCAATGAGTTGTTGCGCTAGGGGCCGCGGGTTCGAATCCCGCACGGAACAAGTATTTGTATGGCCTACAAATAATTGTTCCGGGTCTGGCTGTTTGTCCTTGTGCAATTTATGTTTGTAAACTGCCTCCACGGCACAGGAGAAAATCCTAGTGTGGGGGTGACGTTCTTTTTAAAAACAAAAAAAAACAAACACAAATAATGTCAATCTGGAACTAAAACAGATTGAAACTAAATTGATATCAAAGTAACGTGATGAGTATGGTTTTCACAGACAATGTACTTCATACAAAAAGAAAGAATAATTAGACTGAATATGCTTCTGGCATAGAAGAACTTTAAAGTTATTTTATGTACATTATGCCAAGTCGCAAATATTTTTTGCTGATATAATTATTATATACGTCATTCTGATTTGTGTAGTGCAATTTGTCGACTCGGTCAGAAATGAATTTTGCTGACATACTCAATTAACATATAATTTTTGCTGATTTGCCGAGTACAATGATCATTATTTTACTTCTAACAGTGTGAAAGTATTTTTATCTTGCTATGTTTTTAAACTAAACTATGACCAAAAGTATTTCATGTGATATTTTGTTATTTTATCTTATATGGGGGATATGGCGTTTTAAAATCATTGAAAGATTGTGTAATATTTCAGTTATAAGTCCACATAGTTATGAAACATAAATATCACAGAAATGTCATTTATCCATATACACACCATTAATAACTGTTTCTATATTATGAAACATTAACTTACACATTAGCCTCGCATAAAGGTGACATATCCACTGCTACGTCATTTGAATGTCCAGGGAACCTTGGCAGCACCGACATGACTTTATCCAAAACAGACTCCATAGAGTAACTGGTCACACCACACAAGTCCAATGTTCGGTCCACAATTATTAAAGATATGGGGTTTGAGCAATTCTGGAAAATGCAACAGTACTATGACGGCTATATGAATAAATAAAATAATTTATCTTCTATTTATGTGGCAAGAAGGTAAGCATGAAAGGGACGTTACCAGGGTACGAGCAAGACGGATGTATGAGGGATAGAGAAAAAATATTAATGAACAAAGGATGACTTAAGGGTGAGGATATAGTATTAAAAGTTGATATAATTAGAAAAATAAGCCTTAGCGAAATTTGGTCTTTGCTTTATTCCCCACGTACATCACACATAAAAAAGAGGTTAACAAAAAAAAATTTAAACAATTATATGTCAGAGTAGCTAAATAAAGATATGCAGATAAAATAAAAAATAAAGTTAGTCTGTATACATCCAACAGCTGGGCACGAGCCTCCGCACATTTCTAAGAGGGCTTACTGATAACCCTATTACAAAATAAAAAAATATACTATGATAGTTATTTATTGCTCTATAATATCTATAATGCCTCCATTAATTTAAAGTTCATATAAACAGAAATAACCTTACGTTAAAAATTACTTATACATACCTTTCTTCTAGCTAAGCAGACAGGAGAATTTTCTAACACTCCAGCCACCAATGAACTATATGTACCCATGTAGAATATATCTTCTCTGAAGTTCATGGAATCAAACATACTATTTAAGCCACTAGCAAGCCTCCTTACTTGTGATCTTTCTTCGCTGTTAAGTGAGTATAGATCTATTGAATTAGACTCTGGTGCCAAACTTCCATTAAATGTTGGATACATTCTGTGGTACGGTGGTGTTAGAAATACAATATTTGTTGGCGAGACAGTGAATATTGGAATGTGTACTACTTCAGTTGCACATGGCTAAAAATATATATTATTAAACTAGTTGTATTATTTTAGCTCTTTGGTCTAATCTTTTGTTACATTCATTATAAATAACATGTGGTAAAATAAACATTTTGTACAATAAATAATTAAGGATAGCTCAAAAACTACTGGTCAGACCTTGATGAAATTTATATGGGACCACATGAGAAGTACCAGCTTTTAAATAAAAAAAAATAATCATCAAAATTGGTTTACCTAGGATAAAATTATGAGGTAACACACATAAAAATAAAAAAATTACAGTCATATTGGGTAGGAGGTGGTCCTTTTTGAAGTCAGTTATAAAAATTAACTTAAATATACATTAAAATTACATTGTCTATATCAGCCATGTTTTTAAGTTCACTGGGCATAGGCCTGTTCCAGAATGCGCCTGTGAGCATGCTCTAGAAAAAATAGGTAATACCTTATTTATCTATTTATTAGATTAGAAAAGGATTACATGAGCAGAATCATATCACAATGCCTAAAAGCACCCTCATGGATCACATCATTCACAATGTATATTTTTCGAGTGACTAAGATGGTAGTTGATACCTATAGTACAGATTTTATCTAGTTTCATTATGACCTTTATTGAAATTTTTTGCAAAGCCTTTGACTTATTATTTATTATCAAGTAGCTGTCAAATGCAACACTACACAGACTTGCATTAAGGCTGAAATTTTAAACTACTACCATACTTTATTATATTTAATTTATAAAAATGTAAAATAATTCTACATTAAATGAAAGAGGAAAACCCTTATAAAACTTTAAAAGAAAAAACATAAAATATGGATATATACTTGTAGACTCTAGAGCACAATACCTAGTTACTAGGTGATAAGATATACAATTTCATATTACATCTAAAAGAGTAGTAGGTAGATAAGACAAAATGGTTGTGAGGGCATTTTGTTTTTGCTGACTCCAGATGGCTAAACTTTATTATAATTACTATTTTGTTTGCATGTCTAGGCCACCACATAGTTTTAAAGATAAATTTTTAAAAGCAAATTATCTTCCCACCACATTTTGCGCTGCATTTGATTAGTGTGGACGCACTACTTTACTTACTCATACACCATTTCAAATTAATTATAAATAATTTATGATTAATCATCATCAATCTCAGATCCTGTAAGAGGATAATTGGTACTCTAGGGTTAAATTTATAGAAGTAAGAAATAAATATATCAAGGATTTTAAGCATGGTAGAGCTACGCTACAGCTATATTAATTGTATAGTTGTAGCATGTATGGGTCAGCTTTTTACTGGAAAAGAGGCATTCCATCTTAGTCCTCAGGGGTGACCACACATCTGCATTTTGACTAGGAAACCAATTTTTTTCTGCTTGCAGCACAGAGTAAAATGTAAAGAATAGAAGTTTAAGTTTTTTTAAGTGGTACAGCCATACTGCAGCCATATTGTCGTTGCAGCATGATTGGGTGGCTAAAACAGGGTAGTACAATGCTCTCACGAATACCAACATAAAATAGCAGATTGATGCTGCTGTTTCATTTGGTGAGTGCAGAGAATCGAAGACTCTTTTCACTGGAAACGAGGCATTCCTTCTCAGTCCTCAGGAATGACAACGCATCTGCATTTTGATTCTTAATTAAGGATAAATGTAGATGTCTATGGGCCACAGCAACAACTTACCATCAGTGTACAGTGTGCTCGCTTGTCACCCTTAACCTATAATAAAAGGAGGTTAATAAGTAGTAAGTACATACCTTCTTGCCAATCCACTCAACAAGCATCCCTTCCAGCTGTTTTGTAGCCTCAGTTGTTGCCTTACCAGATGCAATAACATCACTTACATCTTTTCCATCATTGAGCTCTAGGTAAACCACATCCAAACTTATGCATGATATCAAAATACAGTGAGAGAAGTCACTGTTGTAAATTATTTCACGTATTGTTTGTAACTGAGTTGCAGTTGTTTGTGTTATAAATACTGCTTTTTTATGCTCTTTTAAGGAAGACTGAAAATAGCAATTTTTTTTTAATTACTAGCAAATCGGCTTCACACAAGTGATTTCTGGATCTCGGCAACAGCACCACCAGCATACAATTGTGAATCTAAACTATCTAGCGACGCTCTCAAATCATCATCATCATCATCATTACAGCCCTTCACAAGTCCACTGCTGAACATAGGCCTCCCCCAAAGAATGCCACAAAGCAAGGTCCTGAGCCACCTGCATCCATCGACTTCCTGCATGTCTTACCAGGTCGTCACTCCATCTCGTGGGGGGACGCGCTACACTTCGCCTACCGGTACGAGGCCGCCACTCGAGAACCTTTCTTCCCCATCGGTTGTCGGTTCTTCAAGCTATATGGCCGGCCCACTGCCACTTCAGCTTACTAATCCGTTGGGCTATGTCGGTTACTCTGGTTCTACTGCGGATATCCTCATTCCTAAGTTTATCACGCAGAGAAACTCCGAGCATAGCCCTCTCCATAGCTCGCTGAGCGACCTTGAGCTTTCTCATCCGGCCAGCAGTGAAGGACCACGTCTCAGTTCCGTAAGTCATCACTGGCAACACGCACTGGTTGTACAATTTCGTTTTAAGGTTTTGAGGTATGTCTGACGAGAAGATGTGTCTTAGCTTCCCGAACGCTGCCCAGCCGAGTTGAATCCGTCGATTGACCTCTCGGTCGAAGTTGGACTTACCTAGTCGGACTATTTGTCCCAGGTAAACATACTCGTCAACAACTTCGAGCTTAGTGTTCCCAACAACGACCGGCATAGGTGTGACATGGACATTAAACATGATCTTTGTATTGTCCATGTTCATCTTAAGACCTATCCGTTGGGAAACACTATTGAGGTCATTGAGCATAGTACTTAGGTCCTCCAGCGATTCTGCCATAAGGACTATATGGTCGGCAAATCGAAGGTGAGTGATGTACTCGCCACTGATGTTGATACCGTATCCTTTCCAGTCCAGAAGCTTTAAAACGTCTTCCAATGCAGCGGTGAAGAGTTTCGGGGATATGACGTCACCCTGTCTTACACCTCTCTGCAATTGGATAGGTTTCGTACTCTGGTTCTGTACTCGGATAGCCATCGTAGCCCTACTGTACAAGCACTTCAACACTTCGATATACCGACAGTCAACTTGGCACCGCTGAAGGGACTGCAGCACCGCCCAAATTTCGACGGAATCAAAGGCTTTCTCATAGTCCACATACGCCAGACATAGTGGCAAATTGTACTCTTCGGACTTCTGTACAATTTGCCGAAGGGTATGTATGTGGTCTATGGTGCTAAAGCCCTTTCGGAAACCGGCTTGTTCGGGAGGCTGGAAGTCGTCAAGTCTGCGCGCGAGACGATTCGTAATGACTCTCGAAAACAGCACGTAGACGCGGCTCAGAAGGGAAATCGGTCTGTAGTTCTTCAAGAGAGCGTTGTCACCTTTCTTGAAGAACAAGACCACCGCACCTCTGCTCCACGCCTCCGGTGTAATGCCACCATGGAGGACGGAATTAAAGAGCTTCTGATGGACTTCAAGTACCGGTTTTCCACCCGCTTTCAGAAGCTCCACTGTAATTCCATCCTCGCCTGGGGCCTTACCGTTTTTAAGGTGCTGGAGAGCCATTCTAATCTCGCTCAGACTGACGTCCGGGATATCTTCGGAATAGTGTCGGATGAGACTCGCTCTTGGATCGTTACTCACACTTGCGTGTGGCTCCAACGATGACGTGTACAACTGCCCATAGAACCTCTCAATCTCACTCAAAATCTCAGATGTCCCGGAAACGATGCTGCCACATTCTGTCTTCAGCTTTGACAGTTGGCTCTTTCTGGCAGACAGATCTCTGGCAAAGACTTTGGAGCCTTGGTTCCGCTCGATCGCTTCTTCAATACGAGCTGTATTGAAGTTGCGTGAGTCCCGCCGCATGCATTTGGAGATCTGTCTGTTCAGATGCCTGTATGCTGTCAAGTCTGTTGAAGAATGTAGCTTCATCTCCCGTCTAACAGCTATGAGATTAAGAGTGTGATCGGAGAGTTTTTGTGTTCTTCTGCGGCGGGTCTTGCAGAAGTTAGCTCCGACCGCATGGACAGTTTCCACGAGCTTGTCATTCATATCGTCCACTTTGTTGCAGTCTTCTAGGCACTGAAAACGGTTTTGTAACTCGAGCTGAAAGGTTTTGGGACTTTGGAACAAAACACGAGGGGGACGGAGCGTTGACTTCATTAGACGAGACCTCTCCAACTTAACGTTTAGGTTCAGTGTGCCTCTAACCATTCGGTGATCGCTACCAGTTTTCACCCTCGCGATCACGGAGACATCACTGAACAGTTGTCGTCTGGTCGTGATAATGAAGTCAATCTCATTTTTTGTCGAACCGTCGGAGCTCGACCAGGTCCACTTTCTGTGGGGCCGCTTCTGGAAGAAAGAGTTCATCATAAAGAGTCCCTCTTTCTCCATGAAGTCGGCCAGCTGCTGACCCCTTGGGTTCCGTTGCCCTATTCCAAATTTCCCTACTTTCAGCTCACCGTTCTCTCTTGTGCCTAGTTTTGCATTGAATTTGAGAGCGTTCAATGCAAAACGCTCTCAAATGCACACAAAAATTTTCATCAAAATTGTTCAAGCTGTTTTTGAGTTTTAGCTAGACTAATGGACAAAAATTGATTTTTATTATATACTAGCTATCCCTCACGACTTCACCCGTGTGGAATTTACTACGATTTCATGTCTATTAATTTTTTGTGCGGAACCCTAATTCTTTTTCTAAAATAAAAGTATCCTAAGCTACTCCTTATAACATCAGCTATCTGCCAGTGAGTTCCGACAAAATCGGTCCAGTCGTTTCGGAGATTACCTGGAGCAAATAGACAGACAGACAGACAAAAATTTTAAAAATTGTATTTTTTTGTTATTAGTACCGTATATACTTTCATATGCATTAAGTAAAAAGCTGTTATTTTAACATTATAAACAGACACTTCAGTTTTATTTATTTGTATAGGGGCATTTCTCTGTAAACTGGGCAACTCGCTCTAAGAAAGTTGTCTCGGCAACTTTTTTGCTTATATATTTAAAATCTTATTCAGGGAATATATATCCTCGTATTAAATAATAAACGGCAGATGAACCAATAATATTTGCATTACTTTAGAAATACAGAGTATTTTCTGAAAAATCAATACAGGGGACTGTTGCCTATGTCAGGGGACTGTGTATTTAAATGAAAAATACCATTTTAGTACCAAAATTAATTCGTTTTTATTTTCATAAAACTAAGGCTTTTAGGAATTAAGCAATTAAACAATAAAGAAGCAAAAAAAATCAACAGGTCTTTTTATAATATTCTACTAATACTCAAAGAGCAATGGCAGAAAAATAGTTGACAAAAATTATAGCGTCTAGAAATAAGTTATATATAAAATGAGTTTTATTATTTTTCTATGATTTTTCAAATAAAAATGTATTTTAATTAAAGCCACAGAAAAAAACAAACATTTTTGGGAATATCAAATGACTGAGATCATTTTACTCTATTCAAATGTTGCCATTTAGTATATTCCTACTATTTTCGTATACACTTTGTAACACTACCAACACAACACACAAAATATTTTTATATTAAGTTATTATTAGTAATAACTGTACTATCAGTAATAACAAAAATAAAAGTAATATGGCTGAGAATAAGTCTCTTACAAAGAATTTCCTACAATAATACATTATCTCAATCATAGTACTATGTAACAATTCCATTTAATGTTATGCCAACACTAGCTAAAATAAAATGTCACTGTTTTTTTTACTGGCTTTACGGCTCTGGGTTCTAGCCCTTCTGAGAATGTCACAATGCCAGAAATATACATTTATAGTATGCAAATATATAATAGAGATACAATAATCTAAAAACTCTCAATTATGTATTATGTAGGTATTACGCTAACATCAAACAACCACAGGAAGCATGACTTTTTCCAAGTGACATAGGACATAACCTAAATGTTCAAATGTAAATATCTTTTTTTTGACGCCTTCTCAGGACAAAATTCTTTGACAGAGTTATTAAGGGACTGACGCTTAACATTTTAAGATATTTTTGGTATATAGACGCTACCATTTCTTCTCAACTAATTTTATGTATGAAAGTCTGCCATTGCTCTTTCTGAGATTCTGAATGATTTAACACATCTTTTTTCTTGATTTAACACACATTCTTCATAAATTATTTTACCGATATTAAAGTGTAGACTGTAGACAACAATAAAAGCAGCTTGGATGTTTCATCACTATCTCAATGGAATTTGATTTTATACCCAAAGGATTATAAAATTTTCCATTGACTTGATGCACTTTGAGGGTGCCAATAAAGTTTTTCACCTTGGTTACTTCTTGTTCGATTTCAGCACTCATTTCTTTAAAGGCATCATCTTGTATAATGCTTAAACTAATGGCAGGATATATCTGTTCAATGGTTTCTGCAAACTTTACTAGATTTCCAACATCACCTCTAGCAGCAAAAACTACTTTTGCAGGTAGCTCCGACGTCGTTCGGTGCGCCTTTACAGTGGCCACTCTCCGTATAGTTCCAGGTAAACTTTTGTATATGTGGAAGTCGTTTTAGTATTTTTGTCGCCATAATGTAAAACATGGTTCTGTTTCTATATTGCGTCATTGGTCCATCGGTCTAGGAATGCAAGTAAATTGGATTCAGATGACTTCAAACAGCAGCTGGAGAGTAAAACCAATCAGTGTAGACGACGACCCATCGAAATGGAAAGCAGGGAAGAAGGAAGAAAGGGTGTATATTTAGGCTATGTATTTGCTTTCTTCTTTAATCGTGCGTGATATGCATTTCTTCAATTTCTTTTTCTTATACATTATACTTTCGTTTTCAGGGCTCAGGACTCTCTCCACTTCTTCTTTGCTTCACGGTGTTCTCTTGGAGTCATATTCTTAACAAGGTTCCTAATTCCCTTTTCTTTGTTCTTGAGGTATTTTTTTTTATAGGATAAGGGTGACAAACGAGCACACAGTCTACCTGATGGTAAGTGGTTGCTGCGGCCCATAGACATCTACATCTATCCTCTGTTACAAATCAAAATGTAGATGCGTTGTCACCCGTGAGGACTAAGATGGAATGCCTCATTTCCAGTAAAAAGGGCACTCACCAAGCGAAACGCAGAGGTAAACCTCTACTTCACGCTGGTATTCTGTGAGGTCGTGGTACCACCCCGGTTCGAGCCAGCCCATGCGTGCGACAGCAAAAGCTGCCGCGTGGCTCTACCACTGTTAAAAGAAAACCTTTTTAAACTTTTTAAGTTTAAAAAGTTAAGGTGTTCTTTCTCTCTTAGTTCCTTCCTTTCCTGCGGGTCGTTTTTTAATGTTTTTTTTACGTAGTACAGCCATGCTGCAGTTATATTAATAGTATAGTTGTAGCACGAATGGGTCAGCTCGACCGGGGAAGGACCACGCTCTTACAGAGTACCAGCGTAAAATAGCAGCTTAATGCTGCTGTGTTTCGTATGGTGAGTGTAGAGAACCGGGGACCCATTTTACTGGAAAAGAGGCATTCTATCTTAGTCCTCACGACTGACAACGCATCTGCATTTCAATTCGCAAACGAAGATAGATGTAGATGTTTATGGGCCACAGCAACTATTTACCATCAGGTAGACTGTGTGCTTGCTTATTCTATAAAAAAATATGCTCCTATCTTTGCTCGGCTTCTCTTTTTTTGTAAAATCTCTTGCTTAGACTTTTTTCTTCCTTAGCACCATATTCAAAACACATTTACTCAAAACAATGACAAACATGGTATTAAGACAGTCCCCTGGAGGCGATTCAGATGGTTTGCGTTTTGTTACAAGCAGCAATGCAATTATTTAACCTTTAGATTACGTGTCACGTAATTTAAAATATAGGCAGGGGAACCGTTTACAAAATGCGGAGATAAATTTTATTTTACTTTTTTAGTATTATAAAAAAATATTTATAAAAAATAGGCAGATCTCATTAACAATGATATAATATTGTTTGAATAAGCAAATAATTTGATTGATTCCTATAGCTATTGTCTAAATTAATTTAATGTGAAGTGACTATACCGCTTTGGTGACACGTCAGGGGACTGTTTTTGAGGACTTTAAAAACGTTTTTGATACAATAAAGTATATTTTAATGGATATTTTACGCTGAGCAGAGGTAGATTAGGTTATTATCTTCTAAAGTTATTTATGAAATATCTAATAATCTGTACTTCTTTATATAATATTGGCCTGACAATGAGTTGCCCAGTTTACAGAGAAACACCCATAGATAAAGAGATTAGGAAAATAATAATGAATAATTTAAAGGTGTGAGATGTCTAGTACTGTGATCATCAACCCTCTTGCCAAGTGTGATAATTAAGGCAAACCCGCCCAACAATGGGAAAGACCCATGCCCAGCAGTGAACTTTTGCTTGCTGGTGAGAATGATGACACTCAAAGGAATAATAATATGCTCAATTTTTCGTTGTTTTACAACATTAAAGTCGTATAAATGACTCACAGTCCTAATGGTAGGTAGCTTTTGTATCTCATCGATATTTCAACCAATTTCAGACATTAATAGATGCATTATCATGCATTAAAATTTACTATTATGTTTATTTTTACATATGAAATAAATATTTGATGAAATTTAATAATATAACAATAACGCTGAAACTTTGTACACTTAAGTTAAAAAAAAAAACTAGATCTTTTGAACAGATGTAGACATTTGAAAGAGTTATTGTTGGGTAGTAAATCCAAAAGTCAGCCCATACACTCACACCACATATACTAAATAACCAAAACATTAAATGAAATTAACATGTTGATAAGTGTTCACCTCAAACGGTGATAAGCTTTTTACAGCTACTGCGCCTCCTGTGAGAAGATTAAATAACCCTCCATCCCAATGTAAGCACTCAGAACTGTAATCATCCAAAAATACAACAGCACCAATAATTCTATTGTACACTTCGGACCACCAAACTTTTCCGAATTCTTTCACGGAAGCCGTCATTTTTACGAAATTAATTTCTATTGTAGCAATAATATACCGCTTAGCAAGACATTTTTTCACATTTAGGTAAGGATTTTAGATTTTTTTTAATATTTGATTTTTCAGTTTTGTGATAAACATAAAACTATTGAGCATGTTATCTACTACTTTACTTAAAACCATAGATAAATATATACGTAGCAAGCTACTTAAAACTTGCAAAGTGTTACAATTTTAAATGAAAAATGCATATGTTGGAAATTGAAAAGTGGAAAAATGAAAATTTAACAGGCAAATGTCAATGTCATTGTCATTTGTCAGTCAGTGTTTTTTTTTTTGGAGTTTATGACCTGGTATCTAGACCTTTAGGCCAAGTCTTAAGTATTTTTATTCGGTTTATTATAATTTCCCCAAATGTATAATTATCCTTCATAGTTCACTGCTTCACAATATGTTGATGCGTCACATTGTGCAGCCCTTGGGAGATTTTGACGGCAACTTGAGCCAGCAGACAGCTGACAGTTGGCGATGGTATCTAAAGGCGCATATGTAGACAAACAGCTTATCTTGAGAATCCATCACCATCAGAGCACTTGTTTCACCGTTTCCACTAATAGTTCACATGCGTAGACAGTTAATACACAAAATCGCACCACTTTTACATATCAAAGTCCACTTCAAACCATTATTTAAACAATAACACAGGAGCAGCAAACCGTCGCCGGTCAAGTTCCCGCCAAAACTCTTGTCAGTCAGTGTCACATACTTTGAGCATAGAAAATATACTATTTTCTATGCCCAAAGGTCACATATACCAATTTTTTATTAAAATTTTTGCTCAGATGTTTGTCTTTTAAGCCATGTCGTCATTTTCATTCGGGATCTTCGTTTTTATAGATTTTCAGTATCAGGTGATTATAATCCTTTACAGTAAACTGCTTCACAAAAAATTGAACTCAAGGGGCTAGCAGCTGGCTGAAGCCAACGCCCCGTCACCCTCGTGCTCTAATCCAAAGTCCCGAAACCTTTCTGCTCGAGTTACAAAACCATTTTCAGTGCCTAGAAGATTGCAATGTAATGGACGATATGAACGACAAGCTCGTGAAAACTATCCATGCGGTCGGAGCTAAGTTTTGCAAGACCCGCCGCAGAAGAACAGAAAACTCTCCGATCACACTCTTAATTTCATGGCTGTTACGTAGACGGGAAATGAAGCAGCAATCTTCAATAATTTTATAGCATACAGGCAACTGAACAGACAGATCTGCAAATGCATGCGGCGGGACTTACGCAACTTTAATACTACTCGTGTTGAAGAAGCGATCAAGCGGAACCAGGGCTCCAAAATCTTTGCTAGAGATCTGTCTGCCAGAAAGAGTCAACTGTCAAAGCTGAAGACCGAATGTGGTAGCATCGTTTTCGGGAAAACTGAGATTTTGAGTGAGATTGAGAGGTTCTATGGGCGGTTATACACGTCATCATTGGAGCCACAGGCAAGTGTGAGTAACAATCCAAGAGCAAGTCTTATGCGACACTATAGCGATGATATCCCGCACGTCAGTCTGAGCGAGAATGGAATGGCTCACCAGAACCTTAAAAACGGCAAGTCCCCGGGCGAGGATGGAATTACAGCGGAGCTTCTGAAAGCGGGTGGAAAAACGGTATTTGATGTCCTTCAGAGGCTCTTTAATACCGCCCCACCATGGTGGCACTCTCCTGAGGCGTTGAAGCAGAAGTGCGGTGGTCTTGTTCTTCAAGAAAGGTGACAACGCTCTCTTGAAGAACTACAGACTGATTTCCCTTCTGAGCCGCGTCTACGGGCTGTTTTCGAGAGTCATTACGAATCGTCCCGCACGCAGACTCGATGACTTCCAGCCTCCCGAACAAGACGGTTTCTGAAAAGGCTTTACATACACCATAGACTACATACAAACCTTTCGGCAAATTGTACAGAAGACCAAGGAGTACAATTTGCCACTATGTCTTGCGTATGTGGACTAGGAGAAAGCCTTTGATTCCGTCGAAATTTGGGCGGTGCTGCATACCTTCTGCGGTGCCAAGTTGACTGTCGGAATATCGAAGTGCTTGTACAGTAGGGCAACGATGGCTATACGAGTACAGAACCAGAGTACGAAACCTATCCAACTGCAGAGAGGTGTAAGACAGGGTGACGTTATATCCCTGAAACTATTCACCGCTGCATTGGAAGACGTTTTCAAGCTAAAGGACTGGAAAGGATACGGTATTAACATCAACGGCGAGTACATCACTCACCTTCGATTTGCCGACGATATAGTCCTTATGGCAGAATCGCTGGAGGACCTAAGCACTATGCTCAATTACCTCAATAGTGTCTTCCAACGGATAGGTCTTAAGATGAACATGGACAGATTAAAGATCATGATGAGTTATGTCCATGTCACACCTATGCTGGTAGTTGTTAGGAGCACTAAGTTCGAAGTTGTTTAAGAGTACAGTAAAGTGAAAAGAATTGGCGAGAAACTAGTTCGCCTTCCTTCGGGAACCCGTGCATTCTGGTCTCTCGCCAAGGCTGTCCAAGGGAATTTCTGTAAGCCATCACTACCATCTCTGCACAGGGAGGATGACTCACTGGCCCATGACGCAAAAGACAAAGCCGACCTTTTAGGCTCCCTTTTTGCGTCCAACTCGACTCTTGATGACGGGGGGAAAACACCGCCGACCATCCCGCGGTGTGAGTGCTCCATGCCGGATGTGCTGTTCTCACAGCGCTCGGTTCGAATAGCACTGCTCTCCCTGGACATCCAGAAGTCGAGTGGGCCTGACGGAATCCCCCCAATTGTGCTGAGGACGTGTGCTCCGGAGTTGGCACCGGTCCTAACGCGTCTTTTCCGGTACTCCTACTCCCAAGGCGTAGTGCCGAATTCATGGAAGACAGCTTTTGTCCACCCGATCCCTAAAAAAGGCGACCGCTCAGACCCATCCAACTATAGGCCTATCGCGATCACCTCCTTGTTCTCCAAAATAATGGAATCCATTATTAACTGCCAGCTCATCCGGTACCTTGAGGATCACCAGCTGATTAGTGACCGCCAATACGGTTTTCGTCGGGGTCGATCAGCTGGTGATCTTCTGGTCTACCTGACCCATAGATGGGCGGAGGCAGTAGAGTCCAAGGGGGAGGCGTTGGCCGTTAGTCTGGACATTGCGAAGGCCTTCGATCGGGTTTGGCACAGAGCGCTTCTTTCGAAGCTCCCTTCCTATGGGCTTCCCGAGAAATTGTGCAATTGGATCACCAGCTTCCTTGCAGATCGGAGCATCAAGGTCGTTGTAGACGGTGCATGCTCTGACTACAAGCCTATTAACGCTGGTGTTCCACAAGGCTGTGTGCTATCACCAACGCTGTTTCTTCTGCATATCAATGATATGTTGCTAACTGGTAACATTCATTGCTATGCAGATGACAGCACTGGTGATGCTCTATACACCGGCCGTGCCAATATTTCTCGGGAAAACTTCGCTGAGTACCGGAACAAACTTGTGTCTGAAGTCGAGTCTTTGCTGAACAAAGTCTCGGATTGGGGGCGACTAAATCTAGTCCAGTTTAATCCTCAGAAGACACAAGTTTGCGCGTTTACCGCTAAAAAGAACCCCTTTGTCTTATCTCCTCAGTTTCAAGGCACTCCCCTTCTTACCTCAGCCAGTATCGGTATCCTCGGAGTCGACATATCGAGTGACGTGCAGTTTCGTGGTCACTTGGAAGGGAAGGCCAAATTGGCCTCTAAAAAGCTTGGCGTGCTCAGCAGAGCGGGACAGTATTTCATGCCGGCACACCGCCTGCTACTTTACAAGGCGCAAGTTCGGCCTCACATGGAATACTGTTCCCATCTCTGGGCAGGGGCTCCCCAGTGCCAGCTCCTTCCACTTGACCGCATCCAACGCAGAGCGGCTCGAATTGTCGACGACCGAGCCCTTTCCGATCGGCTCGATTCATTGGCACTGCGAAGAGATGTTGCATCCCTTTGCATTTTCTTTCGCATCTACCATGGGGAGTGCTCTGAGGAATTGTTCGGATTAATCCCAGCCGCCAAATTTCACGAACGCACATCGCGGCAGAACTCCCGATACCATCCACACCATCTGGATGATTGGCGGTCCACCACTGTGCGATTTAGAAGATGTTTTCTTCCTCGCACGACCTCCTTGTGGAATCAATTACCATCAGCGATTTTTCCGGACCGATACGACTTAGGGACCTTCAAGAAAAGAGCGTACTCCTTTTTAAAAGGCCGGCAACGCATCTGCGATTCCCCTGGTGTTGCAGTTGTTCATGGGCGGTGGTAGTCACTTACCATCAGGTGAGCCGCATGCTCGTTTGCCCCCTCTCCTATAAAAAAAAAAGTGGGGCTATTTGGTAAACTTTTTGTAAAAACCAGTCTCGTACACAAAAACTACTAAGGTTATGAGCTTAAACAATTTTTTTACGATAAATCTCATTAATATCTTCCAGAGAAATGTGGTAGTATTTATGTATTGAACATAAATACCGAGATATTTTTTTTCCAATGTGCTATTCTAAATATCGCCGTTTTGGGCCTTTTTAATATCGGCATCATCTTAACTTCGTTTTCCACCTCTATTTGTAGATCTATCGATTTAAACAGGTCTTGCGATATTTGGACCAAGAGAAGAATATATGGTCTTTCATTATAACATATGTTTTTAGTTTGATTTTAAGTAAAAACCCAAATATTTAGTATCGTAATATTTATTATGAAAAGGGCGAAGTGCCACTTAGGGCTATTTGGAATCTAAAGTAATTGTCTTCTAACAATTATATAAGAATTAAAGGCAATATTTGGAACAATTAAGGTTAAGCTAAAAATAAACTTGAACAATGAGATCTTTATAAAATATTAAATAGGTAAAAATATGAAATCAAAAAACATAAAAAATTAAATATTTGGCAAGGAATAAACCACAATACTTTGTTTTGACAAACACTGATTTTAGTTACGACATTATTAAAAGTCAATCAAAAA